ACGAAAGCAAAGAAGGCTAAAGGCATCCTGGGCTGTATTAATAGGAACATGGCTGGTAAATCATGGGAATCAATTATCCACTTTTGATCAACACTCAGTAGATCATCGTGTCCGTTATTTCAGGCAGTTATGGACCGCCCCCCCCCAGTGCAATAAAGATATTGATAAATTAAAGCAAGTTCAGCAGAGACCACCAAGGTGGTCAGAGTTGGAGTACATGCCCTGTTACAAGAAGCTGAGGGAACCAAGCCTGACCAGCCTGCAGCTTAGGCAGGACCTGACCAGAACGACAATATGTTAAAAGAAGTAAGATGAAATACCAGTTTTTCATACAGAGAAACTCAGACCCTGATATTTGTATGGTAACATTAGCCAAAGGCATCAATGAAGGGAAGTAGTGGGCACATATACGAGCACAAAAGAATTTGAAGATTCACTGAATTTGGATCTTGTAAAGGGAAGGTAAGGGAGGTAAGAACCCTGCAGAGCAGGGCTCTGTGAGGGCCTTACTTCACCTCTGCTTGAAGAGGACATAGCAGATATGCTTACCACAAAATACTTCTAGGTTCTGTAACACCCATGCAACTCAAGAGGGGTGTTGGGAGATGTCCGAGTCTGATGTATAAGACTATCAGGAGCCTACCCTTCTTCACACATCAGCACTTCAGGAGCACTCAAAATGCAACTGTATTTAAGAAATTACTAGTAAATAAGAGTAAGACCTTGAACACTGTTATGGTACAATCACATCCTGAATACTGGTTGAAGTTCCAATTCTGCAGCCTTCCTCCCCAAGAAGATATGCTAAAGCAGGAAAAATAACAGAGAGGGTAAAATGTTGATTGAAGGCACAGAGCAGCTTCTGTAGAAGCAACTAAGAAAGATGTTTCCACTTGGAAAAGATATCATTATAAAGAAAATCTTAGGAGATAGGAACAAGGAGAATACAAAAACTGGCAGATAAATGAACAAATGGAATTGGGCTGGCACATTCGAAAACATGTTTTTCTTCATACAAAATGTCGGTAAGCTCAGAATCCCCTTGCTAAGTCTAAGAACACTACAAACAGATGGTCTTGGGATAATGGGTCACACTATGAAATGAAAACCCATGAAGGCTTACTGCACAGAATCCAGCTGGACCTCAGGAAGTCCCTTAGCTGAAGGGAATTGCTGAAGACTGGAAGAGTATTCCAGAGAAGCGTTGTTATGCATGCTCCATTCTTACACTCTTCTCTAGATGCCTATGAGAGTGGCTTCTAACAGGGACAGATTACCAGGCTAGATGGACCTTTGGTCCAATCCAATACAAATTGCTCTAGAAAATGCCTTGGGATGCTTCTTTTTGACTTACTGGGCAAGATGATGTCCAGTTATTTCAAGCACTAAAAAAAAACCCAGAAAATGTTAGAACATCAGTAGTGTAGTAATCAAACAAACAAAAAAAAATCTGAAATAACCAAGATGTATGCCAGGGCATCCAAACCCCAAGAACTGAATTTGTACTCACACAAAATACTGGGGTGTTGTGGTTTAGGCCTGATTGGCAGCCAACCACAATGCAGCACCTCTCTCTCCCTTCCCCTCCGGCAATGAGAAGGGACAGAGAGCCAGGCTTGGGGTTCAAGATAGGACTGGGGTGGGGAAAAATCCCCCTTTTATGATCACGAGCAAAAGGCAGACTCGTTAGGGGAAGAAAAAAAACCATACATTTATTACAGACACTAACAACACATAACAGAGTAGGACAGTGAGAAGCATTGCCACATCTTAAGAACACCTTCCCCCCACCCCTCCCTTCTTCCCGGGCTCAGCTCTGCTCCCGATATCTCTACCTCCTCCCCCAGTGGCGCAGGGGCAGGGAATGGGGGGTGCAGGCAGCGCTGCCACTTCCTTCATGTTCGGTGAGGGGAGTGTCCGAAACTTGTTCCCCCTGCTCCATCGTGGTCCCCCTCTCACAGGAGACAGTCCTCCACAAGCTTTCTCCAACATGAATTCCTCCCACGGGCCGCAGCGTTCCCCACACTGCTCCGTCATGGGTCACTAACTTCCTCCGACTGGATTCCCTCCCACGGCTGCAGCCCTTCCCGAGCTGCTCAGGCGTGGGACTCCCCCACATGCTGCAATCCTCCCAGCGCTGAATTACAGCAGCGGGGCTGCCTTTTCCCATGAGACCCCGGCCTTCTTCGGACACAGAACCTTGATTATCCAAGCAGGAACAACAGGCCATAAATCAGTGTCTGCTCCACCGTAGATCTTCATGGGTGGCAGGGGGGGGCCGCCCTGCCGTCTCCCCACAGGATACAGGGGGGTCTCTGCTCCGGCACACCTCCCCCCTCCTCTCTTCCTCCGTTCCACCACTGACCTTGGTGTTCATGCAGCTGCAGCAATTCCTCCTCACCAGTCCCACTGCCCGTCAGCACGTCCCTTCTTAAATACGTTATCACAGAGGTGCAGCCGATTGGCTCAATTTCCCAAACAGAAGTGGAGCCGACGTGGAGCTGGGGGAGCTTCGAGAAGCTTCTCACAGGGGGCCGCCCCGATAGCCCCCTCCCCTGCCACCAAAAAACTCCACCACTCACTCAACCCAGGACATGGGGTAATATAATTTGTCAGTATCTGAACAAGTTGAAGACAGACATAAGCATAAGTGCTTGCTCTCAAGTCCAATACACTGATAGACAAAACATGTTCTTTCCTACACCATAGGCCCTGTCACAAATCCTTGCATACCAACCAAGGGTCTTGCTGCCAGTTGGTCAGGTGCTTTCCAAACCCACTGGAGTTGTTCAAGTAGACAGCCTCAGGAACAAACTAAGAGCAGAGTAAGGCTCAGGCTTCTTTGGACTCAAACTACGCCTGATGTCACCACATCCAACCACACACCCTGTGGCCTCCCTGGAGCATTCTCAGTGCCTTCAGGGCTTTCCATGTTCACAAACCCAGGTTTTAGGAGAAAACTGAAAGGGGAAGTCAGCTCTTGAAGCATTAGGTTGGCTATAGACTGAGGTAATCATAGTGAACATAAAATTACACACTAACCTACTCTTCCACTATACACAGTTCTCAAAGCACAGGCACAAGCTTGGGCTGTGAGAAGCACCATCTGACTGTCAGCATGGGCAGGGAGGACTTCAGTCACGAGCTAGGTGTCAAGTGGACACTATGCAAACTGGGCAAACAGACTTTTAAAAGCTGTGTTTGCAAGAATCACATTTAAAATCTGGCCACATCACAGACATAACTTTCCATACGACCCAAGCTAGGCACCCTGAGAACACTCCAAGCACATTACGAGCATCTCAGGGAACTGGAAGAAATCTGGTAGAAGAAACTTTCAAGCACATGAAGATTTCAATTCTGCTCTTATGAACTGTAAGAACAGAGAGAAAACCAGGTTTATTTTCTTCATACTTAGTCTATCTCAGAAAACCAAAACAGTGCTGGAAATTAGTCTGGTAGAATTAAACAGTCATTGATGTGACTAGTAAGGGGCAACTCAGTTGTACAAAGGGCAAAGGAGGTGACCCAAGGGAAAAATACCACCACCATCACTTTAAGTGCACAACATTCTACAACAAGGTATTTGTAAAATCTCTTAGTGCTATCAAAAACCTAAAGAACCTGAATCAGTTGGCACGGATTCTCATTAGCTGCCAAGTAAAGATACTTCTGACAAGGATACTTTAATCAAAATATAGAAATAAGCATCTTGCAGAACAGGAGAGATGAACCAAATTCCCAGTTACTGCTGTTGCTCTCTTTTGGAGCTTGCTTTGAAAGTCAAGCAAGCAGGGTATTTACTATCACTGAGACAAGAGAGACAACCTTGATGACCATTTTACACTGACTGCCATGCAAAATATATTATTTGAAATAAATGCCAAGACTGCTAGCCTAAGGCTTTTAAGAGGAAAATCAGTCACAACAGGAACATCACAGTAGGGTTGGGTGGTATCCATCTCACTTAACTTTAAGGGTTTAAGTCTAACCTAGTTGCCATCAGGGAGGTTTTTTTATGGTTAACAAAGGCCTAGCTAACTCAGTAAATTTTATCACACAGGTCATCTGACCACATGCAGGTATATCTCCTGGTATGAACTGTGCACCAAGTTCTGTAGGCTTCACAGTAACTTACTCAAATAGAGATGCTTACACCATAGCTAATTCATATTTAGAGAGTTATTTTAGGGGCAAAGTCCACAAAATATCTCCAATGGCTGACTTTAACAAGAGGGCCCAGCACAGAAAATGAAGATCCAGTGATACAGCAAAGTTTACAGAGAAAACAAGAGATACTTCATCATAAATCAACTAGATAATCATAAAAAACACAAGGGGAGGGAAACACTTCATTCCTTCCATAACCACTTAGATGCAAATGAAGGGAGATGGAAAACTTAGAATAGGGTTGTACCAGCACTGATGGATTAAAAGCAGTTTTACGGCCAACAGTGATCATATACAGGTTATGTACAAACTGACAAGCTCAGGGAAAACGTACAACTCCCAAACGTTATCTACTAAAACAAGTACCAAAATTCAATCCGAGCAAAAAAAAAAAAAAAGCCACCACATATTTTCATCTTAAAATGAAGTTTCAACTGCTAAATAGTATTGGATTACAAAATACTGTATTGGGAATAGAAATAATGTAACCCGTTTATTAAGTCAATTCTCTTTCGTGCAGCCTGAAGAGGTACAATAGGACAGAAGCAGGCACAACCGATAGTTTCAGCCTCTAGATGTCGGAATTGCTCAAATCACAGTATATTAATCTTACATCTACAAATACATCTGTGTATATACTGGTTAGATGATCTGCTCTGGCTAGCTGTACCAACAAGCTGAGGAGTTTCCCTCTGACAAGACTGTATCTTCTCACTGATCTGCAATGCTTTCAAAAGACATTAAAAAGCATCAATATTATCGTTTCCACCACAAATATTGCCCATTCTAATTTAAAAAAAGAAAAAAAAAGAGAACAGTACTTTCCTTACCTTTTATTGAACTCCTCAAGTTCTGCTCTCAGTTTTCCTATTTCAATCTGTAATCTAGCCCTCTCTTTGGCAGTTTCATCCAGAACTCTTCGAGCATCAGCCAATTCAGACTCATACAGATTCTTGATTCCACTCACCTAAGGGGAAGAAAGTATTCAGGTATGAGAACAGCCCAAAGACTAACTATCAAAGAAATGAAACAGAGCATGATTTCTATTGTTTAAGAACATTCTATATCAAACACTTTCAATTAATATACACAATTAGTTGTTATCTAGACCCAAAGACAAGATGTAATTTTTATTGCCAGTGGGACATAACAAAGCATGCTACATTTGAAGTGTGGAAGCCTTCCAAAGAGATAAACTGAAGCGGATCAGTATACCCTACAATGAGATCCTAAATTATTTGCCTTCATTTCCAATACTGCTTCTTTGGGAGATTCTTTAAAACACTTATTTTGTGGAATACAAGTCCAGGGCACAATTTGACTCTGCTGCTCTTGCACTATAAAGCTAGAAAGAACATGAAGCTAGATGAACTACAGAAATGTGAACTAGTTAGAGATGAGCTTCCATTCCTGTTCTCTACCTCAGAAGATAAGGACCTATACACCTCTCCCTGTCCCAACTCAATATATTACCTAATCAGCTTTTCAGACTGCAGCAAAGCACCTCAAAGTCTTCTACACCTTTAGTTTTTTTTAGAATGCAAGATTATTTGAAAGGTATATCAGATAGCTAAAACGTGGAGGTCATATAAGATTGCTGCTATGAACAGATACCAGAATGACTATTACTAATAAAAATTCAGAAAGAGAGCAATTGGAATGAGAATAGCCAAAAGCAGAATGTACCAACTTTAGGAAGAGAAATTTCATAACAAAGCATAAAATGTAGAAACAGGAAAGCAAACTGTGCAATTCCTAGGAGCGCCTATTTCAACATCAGAGTGGCACCAATGACAGACTCAACCATCTGCTCTTCAAAAAGACTGATTAAAAGCAGTCAGGATATAATTAAGGTCCTGATAGACTATATTCTCATAAAACTTCTGAAATTAACGAAAATATGACAGTATGAGGGCTGAGAAGCATTAGTTTACAAGCATACCACACACCAGAAACAAAGTGGCTGTCTACCCATGTAATCTTACTTCTTTCCTTTAAAGGATTAATTCTTTCAAGCTTTATTCAACTAAAGGGGGTTTTTTTGTTTGTTTGTTTTTTCTCCATAGCTGGTAGCCAGAGGCTGTCTATGGTGCAAGCCAATACAAGTCTGTATTACCAGTTACAAAATTTAGGAAGTTCTATGAAGAAGTATACCATGACTACGCTAACTCTTTCATACAGCACTCTACAATGACAAGAAAAAAAAAAAAAAAAATTGGAGATCTTAAGGCTGTAAAGCCTTTTTTTTATGGATGACCCTTAAGTGAAAATACAGTATTTGCAAATTGCCGTACAAAATACAACAGCCCAAAGGCCAAGCACTGATTCTGCACCATCAGGTTCTGCATCTACAACACACCTTCTCTAATGTAAGCCCTTCTTTAGGCCATCTGCCCTTCAGCTCTTAAATGTGCTAAAATCCTTCCCCTAGCACACCTACCAGGAACTTGGGGCTGTATTGCTGTAGATTCAGAGAAACACATTAAACTGCAGTGCAGGACACAAGGACAAATCCTTTCCCAATACTCCAGAGCATAAACTGAAATTGCATGTCAAGGTACAAAGGAAGAAAGCCTTCCCCTAGGTTTTTGTGAATACTGTCACAAAAAGATGTTGCTGGTGTGACATTTACAATTTATGCTTTTTAAGCTCTACATTGTCTTTAATACTTAACACCACCAAAACAACAATATTCTGAACAGAAAATAAATACTTAATGCAATTCCTGTAGAGAGATAATATAGCTAGATGGAGCTAAAAATAGCATGATGAAAGCTGTTTCGGAACCTGTTGGTAGAAAGAGAATCAGGACTGATTCATTCACAGGATAACCAGTTGTGGTAACTTAGTATGTATTTTACTCCTGCAGCATGTTAACCTCTTCTCTGCTCTTACTCCAGTAAGAAACACAAGAAGGAAACACACAGGTCCAATTCACAGCCCAAATTATTAGTCAAAAAGCGACTTTCACTAGAATTTTAAGCTAATGCACTGAGCAGACAGAAGTAACTGAGACGTAAGGAAACACTGCAGCTTCCAGCACAGGGAGGCAGCAGACAGCCAGGAGCAGTAACACCTTCAATCACTGCAAAAAACCCCTACCCAAACAAAACCCCTCACCAGAATTCTAACAGGATGCAAAGAGAATATGGATTCATGATAACACCCATGAAAGTTTTAGATTATCAAACTGAACTGAAGGACAGTTCAAGATGGTCATTCTAGATCATAAAAAATAGCATCCTATTTATTTTCAGCACTGGTCAAGGAGAGGAGAGAGAACCAAATGCAACAGTATGCACAAAGTAAAGAAAGAAGTGCCAGCTCAGCTGAACTAGCCTGGTATTGTGCTTGACAACACTTCTAGAACAAGACAGTTATTCATGGAAAGCACCCTTCTACCCCAGCACTGAGAGAAATTCTGGAAATTATTTCTATTCCCTAAAACTGTCGCCCCTCAAACTGTTCTACTGGAAGGAACTTAACTTGGAGTCTACAGATTCTGAAAAATCTCCAGAGAATTATGGTCCCAAAAGTGCCTCTGTTTACTGTACACATGATTTCACCTTCTGATGATTGTACAGGCACTCTTCTGCCCACTCTCTTTTTTAACCACTTTACATTTGCTACTCAGTTGAATCTCTAGTACAGCAACAATTCCAGCCATTCTTAAAAAGATGCTGTTAAACCAAAGCAGGACTTCCTAGGATAACCCCCACATGCCCCTTCTGAACAACAACAAAAAAATAAAGTCAATAGGAACAACAGCCAGTATCCACAGCAACAAGAGAAGGAAGTTGAATAAATGCATCTGGCGGCTGTGAATCTCATTTCTGGTTCTTTGTCTCGTCACACTTCCAAGCAGAGTACCACCAGACAGTATATACCTGCCCTTGAACACTCCCAAAGAATACTGGATACCAGACATAACCCATCTGATGATGTCTTCCATTTTTTGTCACCTTCTATCAGTAGAAGCTATCAATTCAAACACCTTCCCCTTCATTTGTTCTTTCTCGTAATTTTGCTTGGGTTACCACAATCCCATTGTCTCCTGCTCCCCACATTTAAGAAAGCTAAAAGTCATCCATGAAGCCTATGCCAATCCTTCCAGTGTAGGCCAGTAAGAGCAGCAGCTGGTAGGAAACACTGAAGGGAAAAAGTATAGAGAAAAAGTCAAATACACAATGATTTTTCACTCACATATACTTGCATCTTCTAAAAATAAATTAAAAAAAAAAAAAAAAAGCCCAAAATTACTTCCAAAAAACAGTAGTTACCAAATCCTAGGTCATCTACGACCTGCACTTTTGCAAAGCTTTTGACACCGTCCCACATGACACCCTTGTCTCTAAACTGGAGAAACATGGATTCGATGGATGGACCACTCAGCGGATAAGGATTGGCTGGATGGTCATGCTCAGAGCTGCAGTCAACAGCTTGATGTCCAAGTGGAGAGCAGTGACAAGGGGCACTCCTCAGGGGTTGGTGTTGGGCCCACCACTGTTTAACATCTTTGCTGGAGACAGGGACAGTGGGATCGAGTGCACCCTCAGCAAGTTTGCCACCGACACACTGTGAAGGAAGGGATGACATCCCAAGGGATCTGGACAGGCTGGAGAGGTGGGCCTACGCAAACCTCACGAAGTTCAACAAGGCCAAGTGCAAGGTCCTACCCATGGGTCGGGGCAATCCCAAGCACACATTCAGGCTGGGCGAGGAGCGGAGAAGGATTTAGCAGTGTTGGTGAATGGAAAATGGCCTGTGAGCCAACAAGGTGTGCTTGCAGCCCAGAAAGTTAACCGTGTGCCGGGCTGCAGCAAGAGACACGTGGGCAGCAGGTCACAGGAAGGAGACTCTGCCCCTCTAGCCCGCTCTTGTGAGACCCTTCCCCCCCCTGCAGTGCTGGGGCCAGCTCGGGGGCCCCCAACAGCAGAAGGACCCGGAGCTGCTCAAGCAGAGCCAAAGGAGGCCACAAAGATGCTTGGGGGGCTGGAGCAGCTCCCCTGGGAGGCCGGGCTGAGAGAGTTGGGGGGGATTCAGCCTGGAGAAGAGAAGGCTCCAGGGAGACCTTACAGCAGCCTCCCAGTGCTGAAAGGGGGGACAGGAAAGGTGGGGAGGGACTTTTGATCGGGGTGGGGGGGAGAGATAGGACGAGGGGCAACGGTTTTAAACTGAAAGAAGGCAGATTTAGATTAGCTGTAAGGCAGAAATTCTTCCCTGGGAGGGCGGTGAGGTGCTGGCACAGGGTGCCCGAAGAAGCTGTGGCTGCCCCCTCCCTGGAAGGGTTCAAGGCCAGGTTGGATGGGGCTTGGAGCAAACTGGTCTAGTGGAAGGTATCCCTGTCCATGGCAGGGGGGTTGGAACTACATGGTCTTTAAGGTCCCTTCCAACCTAAAGCATTCTATGACTTAATTTGTCTAATCCTTTTGTAAATCTCTTCAGCTTTTGGTTTCCACAACATCAGAGAACACAACTGGTAGATTAAGACCTACTGTTTCATAATTTCTTCTCATGCCTTTAGCTTTTTGTGTTGTGAGAAATGATGTGTATTTGCTTCCTAGACAAATCTCCTCATTTGGACTTATGACGACTTAGATACCTTAGTTTTCTTCTCATCTCTTCTCCAGATCTCTTCCTGGTCAGAAATTATTCTGCTGCTCTGCTTATCTTTGTCACCTTTTCCTCATACACTTTTTCTAGTCTCAAGATGTTTTAAAATAGGTTGAGAAATGCAAGCAGCAGTCAGAATACAGAAACAACATTTATTTACACAGTGATTACTGACCAACAGCTACAAAGGAAAACAGGGACATTACAGGAGATCAGAGGCAGAAAATGCAGTAATAATTCTAAAAGGTTTCAATTAGCCCAAACTGTAATCCAGGAGGTGATGCCTAAGCTGTACTTTCATACACTAGCAGTGAGCGCCATGGAGTGGCTAATCAGGAAACCACAAGAGAGAAA